GAATATTGTGCATATTGTGCCAATATTAAAAGTTTAGCTTGTAAAGACAGTAATCCAGTGTTATCCCCATTTTTATCCCCCTGATAGGTGCTACTTTCAGATGCATTTTGTGCAACGTAAATAATAGATCCATTGCACAGTACAAACAACTTTGTTGATTATAATGGGTGTTTCTGAAAGAGTGCACAACTCGGTGACTATAAAGAGTGTTCTTTGCTCGCTTTCCGTTTATGACCCATTCACAATTTAAATAAAACTTATTTTTACATGCAACTACTACACACTGTAAAGTGTCTGGAATGGCAACTGTACTGAAATGTGGAACTGAATCCAAAAACTGAATTTTTGACAGTGGATGGGATAAAATAATCTGATACTGTATGCCAGGACTGATTTGCGCAAACAAACCTGCAACTCGTTCTATGTGATGTGCAATGTGTTTCACTGCTTTTCGTGCATGTCTTGACATTTTAAAATGCTCGTTTTGTGTTCATTCAGTAAAAAAAATAAAATAAAGTCAGTAAGCAATCACTGTCTAGATTATTTTTTAATTGCCGATTTTTTAATTTTCAAAGAGCAAATGCAAAAATGTTGAGATATGCACTTTTTAGCTACATCACCCAGCCCGTTCATTGCATTCATTTCCTCAAGCAGTCTTTAAACACACACACGCCGAGACGAACACTGAACTCACCCAGACGAGTCTTGAACTCAATCTTCTGCTCTGGATCTTCATCTTTCCTGTCAGAACACAAACATGTTGAAAGATACTCGGAAATGGATTAAAAATGAACACACGTATGCTTTTCTGAAACATACTTGACTTCCTTCTGCACTTTCTCAATCATGTCCTCTTCTTCTCGCTCCTTATTAGTGATTTCAGCTCTGACCTGAAATCGAAACTCTAGAGTAAACACAAGCCAGAGTGTGGCAGCTGTATGACTGTCGTACAGTGGCTTTGCGGTCGTACCTTCTGTAGCAGGGCGAAATCCAAACCCTTCACCAAGTGAGTGTGCTCCATATCACCACCCAAGAACTTCGACTCCTGGATCAGCTGACGCCTTTTCTCTGCTGCCGATTTGTCCCTGTTCAACAAAATGCATGTTTTAATCCACACGATAAAACCTATAACTAGTTTGCAATAAAAAAAGGAGGACAAAAGAAAGGGACTCAAAATAATAAAACTAAAATATACAATCGTATACCCCCATTTTTCAGAAGATGATCAAACTACAAAATATAGTTAAAGAACTCAATGTACTGTGGTGGCCAAAATGATTAGAACACTAGTATTTCCAGCAGCTAAACATGGTTTTAAGTCAGTTATTTCTATGTTTTGCTGTAGTGTGTCAG